AAACTGAATTATCAAATCAGTGAAACAAACTTACAATATATAAAATGGGTTGATATCCTGCATATATAAATAGCTTGTGAAAATCAATAGGAAAATAAATGGCATGTAATAAGAACAATGAATACCTAATTTTACATGTTGAAACAATAAGAAATGCACAGTGAAAGGACGAATGACCCACAAGTGTCCCTAAAGACCAAAGGGCACTATTTTTTTTCATCCTAACTGAGTTACTATAAAGTGACAAGTACGTATGGGTAGGAAAATGGACACCTAGACAGGACTAGTGTAAGTGAAAATATGAATCAACTTTATATACTAGATGTAATAAACTTAAAAAACCATATTGTCTCTGTTCTAAAATTTTTAGCTCCAGGAATTTATCCTGAAGAAATAATTAAGTACATGAATTAATGTTTAGTTAGATGGTAGGTGGGCATTACTTGTTAGCTGAATGCAAACTCAATATTTATTGTGCACTATAAAATACACTATTGACATGAAAAGATAGTATTAATATATTAGCTAAAAAGCAATATAATCCATTTGGAAAAATATATTCTATATTAATATGTATCTATTTTACTTGTATTAATTACTATTATATATAACTTTATATTGATATTCTATATAAATAAACATGTGTGCATATGTGTGTGTGTCTGTGTTCATGTATGTATATATAATACAGCCCTGTAATACGGACTAAAGGGTTTATAAGATACCAAAACATTACTAGTAGTCAATATCCAACAGATAGAATCTGGGTCCTTTTATTTTTCAGTTTTTTGTTTCTTTGTGGGCTCTTATTTATATAATAAAACATAATGTGCCTATTTGTGTAATAGAAAGAATTTGGGGAGTTCAAGACAGGGATTTTCTGTGTAATAGCTCTGGCTGTTCTAGAGCTTGCTTGTAGACCAGGGTGGGCTTTGAACTCACAGAGCTCTACCTAACTCTGCCTCCCAAGTGCTGTAATTAACGGTGTGCACCACTACTGCCCAGCAGAAATTAGTTTTTTAAAAAGGCTCTCTGGTGATGTGTTGACTTGACATCTTCTGGGTAAATACCCCAAGATGATATAAATCATATTAGCCAAACTAAGTTGGTCTCAGAAAAAAAAAATACCTTGTGTTTTCTTTCATGTGTGGGTCATAGATTTTTTTTCATTTGTTTCACAGTCGTTTATTGTCTTAGTCTTTTTTTAATTTATTTATTTCTTTCTTAATTAATTAAAGATTTCTGTCTCTTCCTGGGTCTGAAAAAGCCTGGGTTAAAACCGGTCTTGCTGAACATAGCGGACAAGGAGGACTACTGAGACCCCAAGAACAATGGCACTGGGTTTTTGACACTACTGCACCTATTGGTTTTGTGGGAGCCTAGGCATTTTAGATGCTCACCTTACTAGACCTGGATGGAGGTGGGTGGTCCTTGGACTTCCCACAGGGCAGGGTCATAGATTTTATACATTTAAAAATCACACATATAGAGACAATGCCATGAAAGTAAAAGCCAAACTGCATAAGAAAACAAAGGGAACTGACTAATGGTAGGGGCACGAAAATGGAGTCTATATAGAATAGTCTGGAGGAAATACACTCAAACACATGGTGTTTGTGCATGGAAATGGCCTTATGTAAGACAGTTCAATAACCTTTTTTTTAAAAAAATCAAGTAATTGAATAAACTTTAATACTTTCAAGGCATCACTGTCATGAGCAACATTAAATAATCCTCTGTTTTCTGGAAATCTGCCATAAGAGGTAAATAAGAATACTTTCAACTGAAATTATTGTTGATTTCTTTATGAACAGTGACATTTTATTTAAAGATAATTTGACAAATTAATTATTACTCACTACAATTTTGTTCACTATTTATTTACCTGACGCATCTTTTTTTCTTCTTGAGTCAATTATTATCCCCTCAATATGTGGTCAATTCTTACACCTAAGTAAAACTCCCATTTAACAGAACTGACCAAGGAAGTACTCCATATTGTAATGTGAACAGTTGTGATACAGAATGAGACCACTTTTCTTCATCAATGGTTTGCATTTATTGAGGACCTAGTATATAGCAAGCAAAGGAGTAGCTGCCCTTGACATCATGGATGCTTCATTTTCACAGTTCTATGAGGCCCTAATCATTATGCTCACTTTGCAAAACTGTGTGTGATGAGTGAGGAATGAAAAGTGTATGACTTTATGAGGGCTTTAACTGGAAAGCCTGCACGTTCCATCATACTGTTTTCTAACCTAACATGAAATCTAAAACTCAAGGTAAGCAAAGGTAAGGTCATGCACGTGGTCTAACCTTGTTGAGAGAGAGAACATTGCAATACAGGAAAACAACAGGAAATTTAAAATTCAACATGGAGTTACCTTGCCTAAGTGACCACACCCTCTTGGCTTTCTTTTCTTCATAGGCCTTAATCATGCCTTTGTGAAGGGATGCTGAAAAGGTGTGGCTACAAGCAAATATGTCTACTTGATGCACTCGAAGACATTTAAGAAAGGTTAGTTTCTTTTCCCTTATGTGGTAGGACACACAAGAGAACATTGGGGTGAGCTGGCACATGTCACCATTCTCATAGGTTATCAGTCTTAAGGCACAAACCTGTGGCGTGGAGTTGGTTCCCAGCAATCTGCGAAGTGAGAGCAGGTCAGACTACAAGAAAATCTAACCAGCAAACCTGGGAGTGGAGAGGCCAGAAGCAGAGAGAGGAGCTCAGAGGAGCCTAAAGTATTTCATGTTGTTTGGAAAAGCATCAACCCAGACTCCTAGGTAGTTACGTGCGATTATCTTGAAAACTTAGAAGTAAATGCTGCTGCTGACTGTTTCTAACACTGTGGTTTGGCTAGAGTGGTGTTGGTTTCCAGGGAAGAAGAAGCATTAGAAATCTGGTTCTCACAATGCTGTGTAATTTTGCATGTGCCCATGTGTTTGCATATGGGTCTACACAATCCCTATCTCACCTAAAGGTGCAGTGCTTCCAAGGTAGATGCTTGCCCTCCTCATAGAGAACTCATTTCCTACCAATGAAAATGTGAATTCATCCAATAACCATACATACACTGTGAACTTGAAAAGTTCTATGAAGGATGTCTACAACTTCCTAGAAGGGGAAGTGGTTTGCGTGGACCTTGGTTTCTCCACTGATTACACTCCACTTTCTCAAGACCAGAACCTCCACTAAAGAAGAGGAATATAATAATCATACTATTCTTCTCCTAATACAACCTAACAGAAGTCAGACAGTTTATTCCCCTTGCTGGTTATAATGATCCAGAGGCTATGCGAGACTCCTTCAGACCACCAGGGGACCATTTGAAAATCGCAGATGTACAGTCTTAAATACATGGCCACGCACACACACAGGGGAGGGGGCAGAAAGAGAGAGAGAGAGAGATTCACAAAGTCTTACAAGAAGCAAACTAAATGAACATAAAATGCTCTAACATACCAACCTATAATCCTCTGCTCATTTTACTTATATCAAAGCTTTCAAAGCATTACAAATTGTGCATTGGGAGATCTATGCCATTCACTGTAGTGAAAGCGGGGTGTTCCATACAGACTTGGGTTTGGAAATGTCAACGTACAAGACAGAGTGAGACAACAACAGCTATCATCGGGCTCACTGAAACCCAGCTACAAGGAGTGAGTTGGTAATCACTAGAATCTGGGGCAATGGCTAGCACAGGGCTGAGCTCCTAACAGCTTTCACCTCACAACCCTTCTTCTTCAATGGTTCAGAGGGCAAAGATTTCCCCTGGGTTGCAAAGAGTTATCGCAGAGCTGGACTTTGAGACTGCGGCCTACCTAAAGTAAAAGCACATGTTTGGCACACTAGCCCTACCCCCACTCTCAAAAGAGAAGGACCAGTGATGGATGACCAGTTTAGCCAGCAAGTGCAGGAAGAAAAGCATCTAAGAGTTGGCTGAGAAAGAGATGCTACTGATCTGCCTAACTCCCTCACTTGCTGTTGTCTTTGGTTAAAAGCCACATCCGTAGAAGGGATTCACAATGGCAGCTTTCCCCAACCCCAATCCAAAAGATCCAGCCACTAGTTGAAATCATTTTTTTTCCTAAACCCAAAGAAGGCAGATTTCCTATGATGCTAATGAGCTATAGGAACTCACCTTGGCACACCCACTTCCAAAAGAGCCACAAGGTTTTGGTTTTTGGTTTTTGAAGACTGGGTTTCTCTGTATAGCCATGACTGTCCTGGAACTTGCTCTATGGACGAGGCTGGCCTCAAACTCAAAGATCCACCCCCCTCTATCTCCCAAGTACTAGGATTAAAGGCTTGTGTCACTGCCTTAATGTCCTTTTCTTAAGAAAAGAGTCACTAAAACTGTAGAAAGTTTGAGCCCCAGCAAATATGGATACAGTCCAACTTGTTATAAAAACTCTAAGTGTCTTTCATGCAGCATCTCTCTAAGAGTGCTGTATAGTCAGGTTAACCAAGTACAAATGTCTTGCTTTGGGAGTTTTGAACTGTCTGAAGGTAGGTATGTGGCCATTTTAATATCTGACTCCCTCTTGATACTTGCCTTTCTTTGGACATGCTAGCTACTGCTTAGCAAGTTTTCTAACAAAATGGGATAGATTTCCCTGGAAAGGGAGAAAGTTAGAACTGAAGTGACTGCCCATAACCATGAAGCAAAATAGAGGGAGGCTAGCTAAAACAAAATAGCGGGAGGCTAGCTAAAACAAAATAGCGGGAGGCTAGCTAAAACCGCACTTAAGAGCAAGTGCCTCTGGAGCGGCCCTTCCTGGGTCAGATTCCTCTTCGCCATGTTTTCGCTGTGCCTCTTTAGACCCGTAATTTCTCTAAGCCTCCACTTCCTCAGAAGCAAAATGAAACTAACACGCTGCCAACTGCAAGGGCTTGATATGAGGCTTCAAGGAGATAAATACAGAGCAGGAAAGTTTCCCTTTTTCTTTCACGGACTCGTTCAGCGCAGGTTTTATAAAGGAAGTTCCTGGCGACCCTGAAATTCTCTGTTTCCCCCACATCAGCTTACTTATCCACACCCAGAATAATCTGGGCCCAGCTGACCTGGCCCAGAGGCTGTGTTCACACAATCACCACACTGCACTGCAGAAGCTGGGAGCGGAGGAGATGCAGGAGAGAGGACTCAGCGGGACCTTTGCTGGCATTCTAGCTGGGAACTCCCAGAGCCTGGAACTGAAGTGCACGGATGCCTGAGGATGGAGGGGACAACTGAACCCTGAGGAAGCATGGGTGTGGCGAAAGATGGGACAAGATAAGGTGGGCCGAGGGAGCAAGGAGCAGAGGAGCAGTACCTGAGTCCTGGAAGCACCTCACAGTCCACAGGAAAAGTGTTTTTAATTTTGACATTACCACTTGCAGCTTAGAAGAAAATTGTTTTTCCCTCCATTCGACTGTCAGGAGAATTGAAATCTCTCAAACAGATGCTTCATTACTCCCATATCAAGTACGGCAACGCAATGAGACAGAAAAAGGAGGAAGAGCAACACATGTTTTAAGAAAGTAAGCAAAGCCCAGTGTGGGGGAAGGGTGGGGAGCAATCCCTTTAGGCAGAGGAAGAGCCTTCCTGGAAGCTTCTAGAAGGCAGGCAAAGTGCCCTTGATTTGTTTTGTAGGACATGCTAGTGATGAAGGTGGGCAGTGGTGACCGAGCAAGGGGTGCTGCTAAATGGGGGGCCCTGAGTGGGGTAAAAGTTCATCTGCATAATCCTCTCACCTCATTGGTGCCCTTAGAATAGCCCTGGCGTGCACACTGAGTCATTTTTCTAAGCTCTTTTTATTAAACAGTTTTCAGCCTAATGACTGACTTTCCTAAATCAATACGAGGCCATAGGAAAGGTTTGCAACTCCCCCAGCTCCGGCTCAGCTAAAGCCACAGCAATTTAAAAACCAAATGGAATCCAAAAGTTCTGAGGCTCAAAGTGAAGGACTTTAAACCCTCAGTTCCAGTTGTTTGTCCAATAGCCCTAATAATTAAAAGAATCGCATTAAAAAAAAAAAAACTTTGTAACCAAAATACTTCTTTGAGCCCTGGCCATAAAAGTCCTCTAATTAAAGCCAGCACCTTCTGTGCTCTGATGAGAAATTTCCCCTTTTATAATGGGATTAGCCGAGCTTTGCTGCACAGATGAGTGGGCTGATTAATAATTGACATTTTTGAGGATATATAACCTCACTCATGGTCAGGGTTTGTGTTCCTAAAATTCTCCTATTCAATTGAATGTTATTCTATTTAGTGCCAACAAATGAATTAAGTTCCGATTAGACATCAATGTAATTATTCTCTCAGGCACACTGTTTTCAACAAAGAAAGGGCTGTGACAGGGTGGCCAGCAATTAAGAGTTTCAGACTCAGTGGGGCACAGCCCGAGCAGGGAAAAGTAGGAGAGGGGGACATTGTGAAATGGAGAAAAATCGCTCAGTCCTCACTTAAATTCCCCGCATTACAAAAACCTAAATTAACAAATGATTGAATCACAAAAAACATGTTTATCAACATTCAAGCAATTATTTTGTCACATATTAACTGTGAAGTTTAAAAAATAAATAAATAAATAAAATATCTGCTTAAATGACATCCCCCAAACTGTTACTTCAAGCAGAAATGACTGGAGAAATCTCTCAGAGTTGATGGAGAAAAGGGTGTTTTAACCAAGGTCAATTTTAGTTAGGAGGAGTAGAAGAGATGGGACTCGGACAGGAAAGAGGGCAGGAACGGCCAACAGTAGATGAAAACAGAAAGCCAGGCGGAAGGCAACAGACACAGCAAAGAAACACTGCCCTCCTCCCATTCAAAGGCATCCTTTTCTATCTAGTTCCTCTACGGTAAGCGGGTAGAAGAGAGCAGACCTTCCAACCTGGTGAGTTAACTACTAGACTGATACCTTCATTCGCTTCCTCTGTCATAATAGAGACTACAATTCCAGTGTGGCCTGAGGGTCGGGAGATGGCTCCCTAGGGAAGTGCTTACTGCGAAAGCGCAAGGAGCTGAGTTCAGATCTCCAGCACCACGTTCAAACCTGGAGTGGCAGAGTGTGTTTGTAACCTCGGCACTGGTATGGAGAGGCAGATGGAGCTCACAGCCTAGATGGACAGGCAGTGCGGTTGAAATGGCAAGCGCCAGGCTGAAACAGACTGACTCCGTTTAAAAAAAGTCAGGTGGAGCAACTGAAGAAAGGAAATGGATTGGCCTCTGACCTCCCCAACACACTCTTCTTAAACACAGTACACCTGCTCGGAACTAGTAACATGTTTATGTGAAAAATAAGCCATCCAAAATAACACAAAAACACATACAAACATGCTCAAACATAAAAACAAAATCTTAATAGTAGTCAAGTCTCTCTGTCTCTCTGTCTCTCTCTCTCTCTCTCACACACACACACACACACACACCATCCAGAAGAGACACTTTGAGAAGCTGAAAAAGCAATTGTTCCTGGCAGTACCGAAATTTCAACGAGCAGAGCTTCATACATGCAAGAGCTCAGAAGGCACAGGCCCTTTTTAAAGGGTCTGCCGCACTGGAGCCAGCTGCATCTCTACCATCGTAAGTGACAGAAGTTGCTCAAGCACATGATGAGGTCCAGTGTCACATAGGCCAACATCCTTCATCTTTCTTGGGCACTACCTGGGCTAGAAGAATCAACAGAAAGGAGCTCTCTTCAGAAGGTATGTATATAGTGATTTATTGCTTGTAAGACATGTTCACACACATTATGTCTGTGACTAGAAGTTTTAGCGCCATTTTAAAAACATGGCAATGAAGGAGATAATCCAGTCCAAATAATCTCCCCTCAGCCATAAAACTATTAATGCAGATCTCATATTAGACTGGATTTTCTGAAACAGGATTCCTTCTTTTAAAAAAAAATCTTTTTTACTGCATTTATGTGTGCGCACACGCATGTGTGGAGGTCAGAGAACAACTTTCAGAAATTGGTTCCTGCCGTCTACCAATTGTGTCCCATGGATTGAACTCAGGCCATGAGGGCTGGTGACAAGCACTCATAGCAACTGAGCCACCTCACTGCTCTGAATTCAGCATTCTTCCAGTATTCTTAAGTAAAAAAAAAATTAAAGCCTTTTAAGATGTAAATATTAAGAAAAGGAGAATGAGAACTGGGCGGTGGTGGCGCACGCCTTTAATCCCAGGACTCAGGAGGCAGAGGCAGGAGTATCTCTGAGTTTGAGGTCAGCCTGGCCTACAAAGTGAGTTCCAGGACAGCCAGGGCTGTTACACAGAGAAACTCTGTCTCAGAAACCCAAAAAGAAAAAAAAAAGAATGAACAAAATCTGACCTTCCCATATTGAGTCACAATCATCACTATGAACACTAACTACAGGACCTGCTATATGGTCGAGGCTACTGTAGCAGGTAGGTCTATGTCCCTCCATGAACGCCCCTAACTGCCGTCAGGTAAGTTACTGAGTGCACACCTATGCCTCCACTGTTACTTGTTGCTCACACTGTGCACATGCGCCTCCCCATAGCGCTCTTCCAACGCTCATCTAGTTCTAGCCAGAAAGTCAGAAAAACAAGCTTATAAAGACTGCATGAATAAGAATATTAGCTCCAAGCAAGGACCCTGGGAGCTCTCAGATGAGCTAATTTCATAAAGAGAAGCTCCATGGTGCCTTTATGCAGAGATGCTTGCCCCTTAACCACAGTTTTCTCTCTGAACAAGAGTTCAAGTTGTGGGAGCGTCAACTTCCAGTAAAAGCAAAGGGCCGATGCATTCTGAAGAGTCTCTTCTCCCTCGTCACCGGCACCTTGGGGAAGACCTGAATCATTCATTGTTGAGAAAAACCCTGGACATATGCCCAAATGTTTCCTGGTAGGATAAGGCTGAAAGCCACAGTTAAGTTCCACAAACGGAAACGGAGCTCTAAACGTGAAGATGAGGAGGTGTAAAGATGGGATTTCAGGTTGCCCTCTCCTTTTCCTTCATGAGGACCATTACGTCCCATCAAGTCCCATCGCTTCTAAGTTTTGTTTTGCCTCCAGTGAACAAAGAGCCAGGAGACCCAGGTCATAGGACAGACAGCTTGGGAGACATTGTGGTACCATAGAGTTTCCCTATCTGTATAAATGAGTGATTACCGTACAGGCCCCATAGGGTTGCTAGGAATATTAAATGAGATAATTGTGTAAAAGTAAGCATCATACAGTAGGCACTTACTAAATCCTCACCATTATCTTTATCCTCGTTATTATAAAGGAAGGGAGAGGAAAGAGAAAAAGAAAAGGGAAAATGTACTTTCAGTGGAGTTCCTCAAAAAGAATTAATTAAGCAGAAACAAAAAACAATTGTGCTGCCCCATTTTCCTAAGCACATCTAAGTAAATTAAATTTAGGAAACGAGGCAATGCAAAGATTGAGGATAAAGAACAACTTTCTTTAATGCTTCAATCATTATCAAAACAGCATTAGCATTAGAGCACTCCAACCACTGTAGCCAAGGGCCCCAGGCTCATTTAGGAGGGCAAAGGCTTCCTGCAATCGAAGACATAAAATCCAAATGGAGGTAGTAAGGACTGTTCAGAGAACTGTGCGCGTACCGCAGCGAGCTCTCACTGCTCACATCTCCCCAGTGAAGGCTACTGAAGGACTCCTAAAGATTGGGAACCTCAGCCAAGAGGAAGATAAGCTTTCTCCAACTTCACGTGGTGGAGAAAATAGCTCACCAAAGCTACCACATAAATTTCACACAAACGGAGTAGCAGAGCAATTTTCTCAATAATTTGGTCTACTGGGATCTTGGGGGGAGAGGGTGTTTAGTTTAGAGCAAAAACAATTGTGCCCTTCAATCCCAATTCATGGGAATAATAAGTAGTTATTTTTTTTTTTTAAAAAAAAAAAGGAAATAGATGCCCAGATTTCACAGCAATTGTCTTCTACTGATCCCTTGTTTGAAGCCTCCTCTCTTCAAAATGTTTGTTACAGAAAGGATTTGTGGTCAATGCTTCTCCAAGCATAACACAAATGACTCGAGGTCTATGATTGTGGTTGATTTTCTCTTGTGTGTTTTTTTTTGTAAGTGAGGCATGCTTAAAACAAAAATCAAAGCAGATTGAAGAGATAAAGAAGGAGTAGATACGGTGACAAGATTGGAAGCACAGTGAAGTTGGCATCATTGAGCTGTCTCCATGCCATTTTGTAGAGTTGTTCTTCTGCCTGTCCCTGCAATTCTGGAAATAAATTAGCATGTGCACACACACGGACTTCTGTGTGGGTGTGTGTGCTCGTGAGAGAGACAGAGAGAACATCAGCAGCAGGTATTGCCTCCGCTTCCTACTCCCTGCTCATCTGACTAATATTCAGCTCCCATACAAGAGCAGCCGTACCTGGGCTCGCATCCAATCAAACACGGCCAGAACTTATTTTCATACTCCGTCTCACGCTGTTCCAGCTCCATAAAACACAATATGCAAAGTGCAAGACTGGACAGGTACATGAACTCCGACAACAAAGGCCCTCACATGGACAGCGATAGCAGCTGCTCCGCAGCCTGGAATTCCAGTGTCATCAGCCTGCCATCCTATCTCAGCAGGCAAAGGATGAAAGGCGACATATGGCGCCTTGGTTATTCTAGGAGTGAAATAAATCACTATGGTTCCATTGCAACCAAGTACCTTCATGCCTCAAAGACTAAGCTTCGCCTGTCCACTTCATCCCAATCCTCTTGTCACCCCCACTTGCAGCCAGTCTATCACCTCCAAAACCAATCTAAAAGGTGCATGAATGGTGCATGTATTTTTAAACCTGGCCTGAATTATTCATTCTATCACTAAATTGTTGGTCTTAACAAATGCTTCACCAGAGTCTTGCTGCATAAATAGGTTAACAAAGATTTCATGCTTTTGGATCGTACTTTATATAATGAACCTACCATCGATATCCCCTGAGGCTTAGACACAAGAAACTGTCGTAAGTGTATGCTTTATTGGCTAATTTGAACAACATTTTAGCTAATACTGAGGACTTCATTTTGATGCCTAAACTAAGGTATAATTGGCCCGCCTTATAATTCAAAGAGGTTAATTCTTACAAAGGTGCCATCAGTCTGAAAGCTTTAGAATGCCAAGTAGCCAGAAGTATTAGATCTGACCCCAAGGCTACCTTAACAGGAAGGTAGCTGCTAATTCAGTATGCTTCATTATATTGATTGGACGGGGGTTAAGGACATAGCTTAGCTGGTAAAAAATAAGGAGTTCGGATCCCCAGCACCCACATAAAAAGTCAGGTGTAGCAGTGGGGGCCTGAAACTCTATTACTGGGGATGGAGACTAGCCAAGGGGGAATCTCTAAAACTCATTGGCTGGCCAGCCTAGCCAAATTGGCAAAGTTCACATTAACCAAGAGGCCCTCATTCAAAAAACTCAAAATGGAGAGTGATTGAAGATGCACAGCATTGCCCTCTGGCCTCCACACACGCATACACATGTGCACAGACCCACACTACCAAGTGTCTACCCACACACAAACCCCCCCCACACACATGCACTTTAAAGAAGGGATAGAAGAAAGTCTTCATATCCACAAGCAATTTTCCTAGTCACAAGAGGTAGCCTAAATCAGAGGATAAAAATCAAGGACTTTTTAAAACCAGGCAGTCTGGGTTCAAATCTTGCCTTCGCCATTTATTTTAGGTGTGTGGCCTTGGCAAATTAACTAACCATCCTGGTCTTGGGTCTTCATCTCTAAAATGGAGGTAGCAAAGACCACTCATAGATACGTTGTGGGAACTAAATGAAATGAAAGAGGCCAATGGCTTAAAGCCACATGGTAGACTGTAAAGGCTTCTTGTTGTCACTACCATTGCCGTCACCTCCAGCTCGTCCTCAGTCCGAAGGAGTCCACCCTGTGCTGCAGTCATTTCCTTGCAAATGACTAAAGATGACATCATTTGCTGCCCATCCTTTCAGAGTGCAGAGAGGAGCGTGGTTAAGAAGCGACATTCACAAGGAGAAGAGAGGTAACCACTCACACAAATTGGAAAATGGTTGGCCAACAAGCCAGATTCTCCCTCTCAAATGGAGATGGTCCTAGTGGTCAGAAGGAGTTCATATATGTGTTCTGTGGTCTCTGACTCGCCCCTGAAGAAAGCTGGCCTTGGAATTAATGAGGAGGGCGGGTGGGTGGGTAGGTGGGTGGTGGTGGTGGTGGTGGTGGTGGTGGTGATGGTTGCAAACAAGTCTTACGTTCTAACAGAGAAAATTATCACTGACTTTTTCAGCAGTGATTTATGCCTTTTATATACAGGCAAACAAAATGTCCTTGGACAATGATTTTTAATACTATCCACTTTTTCAAAGATTAAAATGAAATTTGTTTAAAAACCGTGTGTTTCCTTATCCTGGATCTCTCGCTGGGATGCTTTTCTATCAAGCATACATACTGGAATGGTAATTTATAAGTTATACTTAGCATTTGAAAGCCAAGCACCCAAATAATGATGCCATTGAGCAGTACATCGAAAATGACCCCCCAAACTCACCTTGGAAAATCGCAGCATTCTGAATAATTAAGAACTTGAGCTCCATACTTGCAGACTGGAGCAGCTGTTCCATGTTCAGCCGTGCTGTAAGTTGGTATTTTTCTTCCATCTTTCTTGAGCAGCATGTTGGGCCCTTGGGGAGACATACTTGCAAATCTGATCCTGAAACAAACAAGGTATTCATGTTTCAGTAAGCAGAAAATATATATATATATATCAAACATTACACACATGTATGTACGCGCCTGCACACACACAAATAAACAGGACAAAACACATTTCCATATTTCTCTTTAAATACAGTAGGTCTCAAGTACATTGTTTGTCTCAATTCATCCAATTTCCCTCCTAGTTAATTCCTTTTGAATAGCTGTCAGTTAATTGATGAGATCTGACTCATAAATTCTACAGAAAATAATTTATAGCAGCACCAAACACACGCTATTGAACACCAACATTTAATTTGTCTTTTAAAATATCAATCTTCATTCTTCTCATTTATTTTTTCCTGATTGTTATTTATGAATATGAACACAATCAAAGACAATTTTTTAAGATCCCAATTATGATTTCAAATGAAATAGATGTCTGGCCAGCCTAAACGTGCTGTTCAGAAAAAATAATCAAAACATCAAACCCATATCAAAGTTTTGCTGTAGCTGTAACCAAAAGTCTATCAAGAGTCCATAAATACTTATTTGGTTCCTATTAAATGCCAGTCACAATGAATGAGGAGCACACAAACCACAGACTTGCCCTCATGGTGTTTCTAGTCTTGAGGACAACAAACAGCCACATGAAAATAGAAACAAATGTCATGCTGGGTGAATATAAGTGCTATATGAAAAGACATAAATATCAATACTGCCTTAGATGCTTGTCCATTTAATTGGCATCTGCTTTTCCAGTGACCCAATCTAACATACTATTTATGTGCCAGGCACTGTACTACATGCTGGAGGTACAATATTGTCCCTGCCCACAAAACTTCATCATCTAAATGGATTAAGAGAGATACATCTCTAGTGCTAGAACGTAAGTGTAACAAAGCAACATAAGGATGATAAAATGTGTGTGTGTGTATATATGTATATACATATATATACATATATACACATCTATACATATATAGTAACTTCTGCCCATGTCCAGTAAGGTCCTATGGAAAGTAAGGTTCAATAAAGCGCTCTCAGATATTTTAGGTAACTTTTTAAACTTAATAAAGGGAGGGAGACTAGGTAGTCCTAAGCTAGCAGAAAGGTGATTTTTTAGTACACCACGTTATTTCACAGTAATTGTAGTTGACCGTGGCATTAATGCACATGTCGAAGTTTTCTTAATTTCAGAACGAAATTCATTAGCTTATGTCTCTCATGTCATCACTACTGAATCCGAAGTATTGACTCCAGCTCCTCGCTTTCCTTTACCCAAAAGAACAACTGACCAGTGTACTAGAGGAGAGAGCAGATCAGACATGCCAGCAAACCCAATCCAGCACCACAGTTTAGAGTACTAGACGGAACTAAAAAGGAAAGAAAGCAGGCCTAGTTGTAGCTCTGTTCTTTCTACATGAAATTATAACACCTTATGCTATTCTAGGAGTGGAAAGTGATGCAGTCTACTGGACCAAGAAGGGAAAGAGCCCCCTTGGGAAGAGTGGCTAATCTAAATATCAACAAGGTTGGCTGGGACACACAAATAAATGTGGGGAAAAGGAACTCTATATAGTAAATCTTCCCATATACCAAGTCCCTGATCATATAACAAGAGTTGATTTACTTTCTGGGTAAAGCAATGCCTATGTCATGTGTGCTTAAACTCTCTGTACTTACCCAAGTTCATAAAATTAATAGTTAGATATACAGCCATTCTTTTTTCTAAATTGGCTTTGGAGATCACTTCTAGTTTTGCAGAACAGCTAGCTATTTCCGCAGGGGGGGCTGGCTGTTAGTACTGCACCCATTTCCACTAGCACTGGCTAGAGGAGGGATCAGATGATGGCATTGAATCGTTTCCTTTAGAAAGCGCTATGTCGCTATGATCTTATAACAAAATGTTCAAAGTATCTGTAGAAGTTCAAGAATGATTCTAAGCTATGGTGACACTTGCTTGTTTGGGCATAAATGTGATCATCCCCACAGGTACTTATGAGCGCTACACTGTAGAGCTTGGTCAAGTCCCACTATTGGAAGCCGTCCTCATCTCACCAGGCTAGCTAGCACTCTGAAATGGAATAAAACCTCAAATGAAAGCATTTTAGGAAAGATGCCAAATGTCATGAAGATGTTAAGTAAATATTATATCCAAATATAAGTGTGTATATAGCAAATTTACTTTCTGTCTCAATTATTACTGCCTGGTTAATCAATAAATCAGAAAAAATTTATCATAGGGGCTAAGAGTTGTCAATAGGCTTAAAAAATAAAAATACTCATAAATTATAAGAATTCAGGATTTCCTAACAAAGGAAAGGCATACAAAATGGAAAAATAATTTGTTGTAAATAAATTTCCTATAACTCATTCAACATAGGAGCACTACTCATGCCTCAGTGAACAGTACTGAAATATAACCATTCCAGTGCCATAAGCGTTTGCTGGAAAGTAACAAAACAGATAAGAATGGAGAAGAAATTTAGAGGGACTCCTCATCAGCTAAATAAAATGTTACTCTAGGAACTGAATCCTCAATGGGGAAAATACAAAGGAAATGCTAGAGCAAATGGCTAAGGAGATATACTGAGAACTCTACACACTTGTAAGGGCAAAAGGCAAAAAAATCAACTGAAGAAATAAGATGCAACCAGCAAAAGACAGTAAAGGTGCTGGGTAGGTGGCTTAGCAATTAAGAGCACTGACTGCCCTTCCAGAAACCCCAGGTTCAATTCCCAGCACCCACATGGAGGCTCACAACTGTCTGTAACTTCAATTTCAGAGGCTCCAATACCCTCTTCTGGTCATCCTGGGTACTACATGCATGTGGTACCCAAACATGCAAGCAAAAATATCCATACACATAGAATAAATAATTTTGTTTTTTTTCCAAGACAGGGTCTCTCTGTATAGCCCTGTGCTATAGTCTGTAGACCAGGCTGGCCTCAGAACTCAGAGATCCTCCTGCCTCTGCCTCCCAAGTGCTGGGGTTAAAGGTGTGTGCCACTGCCACCTGGCTGAACAAACAAATTTTTTTAAAAACACAGAATAGCATATATTTAATATAGGGAAGCTTTCTTTAATCATATGAGGAACAAAAGGTTAACGGGAAAGAGCCCCTTTTAATAGACAGAAAATGACTTTTGGTCTCCACTTTCAAAGAGGGCTACTCACATAGCTTTTATGTAAAGAAGGAAATTCACCTGCCAATGGGAAGAGTGACAAACACATCGTGGTGTGACAATAAGCAAAGACTTAGCACTTCACTGTTCCAATAAGCCGGGGGCGGTCAATTTGGGGAGACTTCATTACTTTCATCCACAAATGCTCAAAAAGGAATAAATAAATTAAAAATACTAATAACTAAAAATAATGACAGAGTTACTAACGTCCATGTATTTTGAAGGATTAAAAACTACCTTCACACTATAACTCTAGTCTCCTACATTAGAAATTGTTGACGAGCAGCGAACAACTCCATTTTCTTTGGAATGCCTCGGCGATCTCATTCAAGTGATGTGCATACTATTGAATTAATGAACGCTGTAGGCTGAGAGAACTATCACGAACCATGTGTCTGCCTATATTTAAAACTCCGGGGAGTGGAGATGACCCTGAAAGCTTTACATCTGTGGAATTAACTTTGATCCTGGGAAAATACCATAAAAATCAATTTCCCAGCATCTTGACTATACACAAATACATGTTTCATTTGAAGGAACTTTGTAGCACACATTTAAAATTATTTTGCTGGGTGGTGGGAGTGCACGCCTTTAATCCCAGCACTTGGGAGACAGAGGCAGGCGGATCTCTGCAGGTTAGAGGCCAGCCTGGTCTACAGAGCGAGTTCTGGGACAGCCAGGGCTGCTACACAGAGAAATCCAGTCTCGAAAAACAAAAAGAAATAAATAAATAAATAAATGACATTAAGTATTTCTTGCACATGGGATGCAGTTTGGGATCCTACAACTTAAAGGAGCTATTTGAGGCATAGCAGCTTTATCTTTTGGGGGGAGTTATACGCATGTGTCCCCAATTTGTGCATCTTTCCCTGGTACTCCTTTTCCAGAAGTTAACCACAGATAGTCCCCATGGAAACCCTCTTCAGATGCTGCTCTGCTTACATACCTACATCTGATAATATCTCCAGGCATGGATGTCTGTGGCTCCACCTTCCTGTCTTCCCATTGGGCCCATCTCTTGCTCTCTGTTGCCTCCATGTAAAGACCTGCCATTTTAGCCTGCCTCCAATTTCCTTTCTCCCACCTCCACCGAGGCTGTAAAGTAGTCCCTGTGCTTACCAAACTCAGAAACTCTACTCCAGGCTAGGACCCTTTCCATAATTAAAAGCAGAAAGTTGACAGTGCGCATGAGGTCGTTTAAATGTGTCACTTCTATTATTCGATTAGATTTTATTCCAAGACAGGAAGCCAGCGCTATA